ATCGTTTTGGATCTGTATATGAAATTCCCGAGGAAATTCCTCATTGGTTTGATATGGAGAAATGACAAATGGATGTTGTTACGCCGTGACACCAAAAGAAACTTTTGTGATAGGAACTAAAATTAAAAATAGGAACAGTTGGCGAAATTCCAAACAGTCTCTATAAAGTTTGCTATACTTCGGTGAGTGCTATGTTATTTAATAAATAATTCACTGGTACTTTTCTAGATAATTTGAAGCGAGGTTTGAAGGTACCATCGATAAAGGATTTTAAGCATAGAGCAACAAGTCGGCATAAGTCTCTAATTTCATGTTCAACAATAAACTACTCATCAATCGAACTCGAACACCCCCATTTTTGGTCACTTTTTGTAAGACTATAACTCAAAATCTAGCAGGTCGATTTTGTAGGCTGAAACATAAGTTGTTGATTTTTTTACGAAAGTTTGGGTTCATCGAATTCTGCTGGAGGGAGGGTTAAGTTTATTTTTGGTATTCAGTTTAGAAGAGTACCTTAGTACCTCGGGACATTTTTGAGATTTGAAATCTCATATTCCACACTCGTGGAATTTAAATTTTTATACGTATTTCATGACAGCATTGACAGCGTTGCAAAATTCAATCGAGCTTGTTTGAATTGTTGTTACTACACTATAGGTCCAGATGTACAATCTTGGTTCAAAACAGAGTTCAGCTAAACTCGACTGGTACTAGAACTTCCCCATTTGAAATGCATTGCTCTCAAAATTGATAGAATTTCATTATTGGCTGACAGCAATGTATTTTAAATGGGAAAGCTCAAGTACCAGTCGAGTTTAGTTAAACTTTGTTTTGAACCGAGATTGTACAACTGGGCCTAAGGCAACTAAAATATTTGATTTTGACTATTTTGCCAGTGTTTTACACTGGCAAAATGTCATAAGAACGGCCGGTTTTCTACTGACAAAACTCCTACCTGTTCCTACCTGGACAAAACCAACATGATGGTTTTTCAGCGATTTTCAGCGACTATTTCACTAGAGTGTATTACACCGGTTATACAACTCACTGTACATTATTCTCATATGACACGAGAGGCTTAAAAAGTGATAAGCCTTTTGGGATTATCGCGCTTAGTGGCATTTATAGCAAATTATATTATAGAATTTTTTTTTAATTTTAAAGTATCAAAGTTTAGTTCGTTGTATAACCTTCTGAATACCACTCGATGTTTCAGGATTACCTAATACTTTCACCTGACACTCAACGCATTACCAGCAACACCACTCCTTCGGAGTCGTGGTGTTGCTGCGTAACGCGTTTCGTGACAGTTTAAAGTATTATCCGGTTATCCTGAAACCTCTTGTGGTATTACATTCGACAATAAATTCGGTATTCACCTGACGATATTGCTACCTGGACAATACCAACAACTTGGTATTTCAGCGACCATCATTCGCGAAATTGCTAAGCAACAAACTTTCATACCTTTCGAAAATTTTGCCAACAAATTTTTTTCTCTTGTGATAATATTATATATGACAAAATTTTGTGTGGCTAGAGTAAAAAACTATGGTAAAAAACTATTGAGTTTGATAAATGTCACCTAAAGAAAATAAATTTTCCAAATAAAAATTTGGCTTGTTTTTCTCGTGAAATAGTCCAGCCGAATACCACTCAAGAAAAAATTATGTAGGCAAAATTATTCTCTTGGTTTCATTCAAGTTTGCTGCTTTTTGGTAATTTCGCTCATGAAATTCACCATCCCTGAAAATTTCAGCTCATTTGGACTTATAGTTCCTGAGATAAAATCGTATTAAACAATTTGGGATGATTTTTCAATTTTTCTGAGTGCCCTTTTTCATAGAATCTGGCTCCAAATCTCAGAATAATTCAATGTATGGAGTTCGGGGGATCCCAAAGGATTATTAAGTAAGACACAAAATCTCAACAAAAAAAAATTGAAATTTCATCGTTTTATTTTAGAAGGTAGCTTATGATTTAGATTTTGGAAAACTTTGAAAAGTCATAACTTTTTTTCTAAGATCGTTAGAGTTTCAGGGTACTTATGGCCCTTATAACCAATCAAGATATACAGTCCTTGAACAAGAAATTTGTAATTTATTGACCCATAAGCCTTGTAGGAAATTACCCTTTTCAGCTGAGAAGAGCTGATGGTGCCGGTACACTTCACGGACACACAGAATTAGCGTGTTTCTGAATTTTATCAAAAAGAGGGTTCTTCAATTTATTTATTAGAAGAAAAAAAATGCGGATTATCTAGTAAAAAGGGGTCTGCTATGATAACTTATGGGTTTCGGCATTTTTTGTTTTTTTTGAGAAAGATTCCTACAAATAGAAAGATGTAATGTAAGCTATAAATAAATGCGAAAAATACACATTTTCCATCAGAAAACTATTATTCAAACTTGACGATTTCACCTTTCGAAAACCAATCACGAAAATTCCCCACTATCGATCGCTATCAGCACGCTTTGTTATTAACCATTACCCAGTACACATATAACCAGTTATAAAGGAACTGTAACGAAATTAACCAAAAATATCTAAACTATCCCAAATTAACCCGTTCACGTAATGCGTACCAGTCCTTGCGTCAATATTGAATTAGGGAATCCAAACCACGTGACTTTTGCCAACCATCCGGCATTTTGAAATTTTTATGAGGTTAGAATACGGGTTGTTACATGTCAACGATTTCAGGAAATTGTCAGATTGATAAAGCCTAGTACTCATAACCGCGAAATTCGCTCTTTTTTGACATTGCTTCGACAATTTGACGTTTGATTCACGCATAAAACGTCAAATTGTCAAAGCAATGTCAAAAAAGAGCGAATTTCGCTGTTATGAGTACTAGGCTTAATCCTGCCAAATAAAAACATATGTTTTTTGTTTATTGTTTGCCAACCAGACGCCATTTGGACAGGTCGTTGGATTGCCTAATTTAAAAAAACAAGCGGGCTTTGTTGTTAACCAGTACACTTATAACCAGTATTAAACGAAACTAACCAGAAATATGCAAACTAGCCCAAACTAACCCGTCCACGTAAAGCAGGACGCGCACTGAATCGAATCGGACCGGTCGACGGCGAAGAGCAGTCGGCAGTTTTTGATAGTCATGAAATTAAATGAGGCTCCGCGCACAGCATCGGATTCGTCGACTCGACACGGCAAAAACGGAGATTGCTCGAAGGGGCAAAAACTGCCGAATGCTCTGACAGCCATGGACGATTTTTGTGTGAAATTTAGTGTAGCGTTTGATACGTTTCGGTTTGTACTGAGTTTGTGTCCTGCTTCTGGAGCAGTAGTATCTTCAAAACCTCATAAAACTTCCTCTAGACATTCTGGTGGCCGATCCTCGGGCCAGGGAGTAGAGCTCCCCGATAGGACGAATGTTTTGTCCTTGTCAACGTAATCGAAAAGTAAACGAGAATGATAAGGACGAAAATTTTGTTCCCTCGGGGAGCTCCACTCCCTGGCTCGAGGATCGGCCCGCTGGGATATTAAAAGAACTTTTTCTCATCTTCATGCAAGCCGGGGAATAAATGATAGAATTTTCCGTAGACCTTCCTTTTCAAATTTATATTATGGACTCTGAATCTTGGCCTCCGCATTTCTCTTCCAATTTCATGTCACGGTAGAGCTATCATCAAATCTTTGTCAGAATCTGAAGATTCCGTCATTTTCATCTTCTTCTGCTCCTCTATACTCGACATTTGGCGGACGTCTGCCGGCAATGCGAATTCAATGCGCGGCTGATGTTGATATTCCGATCGCTCTATTCCGAGTCGACTGGTCCGAGTCGATCCAGTGCGCGTCCTGCTTAATGCGTACCAGTCCTTGCGTCAATATTGAATTTAAAAAAACAAGCGCGCTTCGCTTCAAATCTAGTGCGTGGCGCTGCCGGGGAGCACTAGAGCGCGCCAATGTGCATACTGGAAAGCAGCTCTTGTTTTACAAAAAAAAAAAATGTACAAAGAAAAGATAGGTAGTTTAACGTGAACAAGCAACAACTCAACACAGAGAAATAATTTATTTCTTAAAAACTACTGAATAATCCGCAAATTTTAATTTTCTTAATACTATATAAAAGACCCTCTTTCTTATAGAATTTAAAATTTTGCAAAATTCGTGTGTCCATAAAGTGTACCGGAGCCGAGCTGATAAACTGCTCATAGATAAGAACTTCAAAATAATTAATAAAAACATAGTCTCGAACATAGTATTGTATTGTAAGATGTATTTTCCATAGCACTGTTAATTTTTGGTACTCATAAATTACAATAAATACATATAAATATAAATAAATACATTTAAATACAGAAAATACTTACATATTTATTTGTATTTATAAATAGGTGTACAAATTCTGGTGAGTGACCTTCGCCTCGGGACTTATGGAAATTTTCAGTGTCAAGTCAGCCACTATTTGGTACCTACCTTGTTCCAATTGAGTTTGGAAATACTATACTTCATTAAGCTAAGAATAAGAAGAATTGTTTTTTGTATTGCGGGGCTGGCATTATCATTATCAAGCTGACAAGCTAGATGGTTTTTTTATCTATTTGTAAAAATTACGGCGAGGCTAAGGTTTTCTGAAAAAAACATTTTTGTGGCATATTAATTTTAATGGAATATTGCAGCCAAATTACAAATAAAAAGAAATTTTGGTATAAGCCTTTTATTTGAAATTGAGATTGAAATACAAGGTTCACATTTATTTTTTTCCAACTTTTGCTAGTTTTGCTCGTAGTTTTGCCAAAAATGTTCATGCGTCAAAAAAACTACCAGTTTCTATGAAGGGCTGATTTAGCCCTTCTACTGACACTTATTTGTCTAATTCTATTTTATTCCTTTGAACTACAAGTTCTCCGCAGTACCTAGGTACATTTTACAAGGCTCCAAACTCTCAATATCTAATCATACAAAAGCCTGATAAAAACCATAACAAAGTAGTGATATTTGTTTGGCAAACATATCAATAAATAAATAATCCACACCTCTTATCCAAAGAATTCCTGAATGAAAATCAATAGTAAAATCCTGCGGTCACTTAAAAACACCACAAAACACTGCACATAATCACTTATTTTCCTTGCAAATAATAATCCACACGTAAATCCGTGAGAAAAACCTCGGGAAAATCGAAATCGTCTTTTTATTTTTTCGTCTGAGGTCTATTTTGACAGATTCACATACGCGCACCTACTAAATAAAAACAACATTGAACATAACATTGGTCGTTCAACTGTTTGGTTTTCTTGCTTGGGACTCAGAAATACTTCCCCATTTTTCCGTCTTTCTCTTGTGCATCGCGAGAAGGTCGTTTGAGGTAACCGACGACAAAGATGGAAAACGTGTCGTTTACCGTTAATGGAGATTCGAGGCTCCGATCATAGGTGACGCCAGTAGGATTCGGATTGATTTTTGATTATATGTAGGCAACCATTGATGAGCTTAAGATATTTGAATTGTACAGAGCCGGACTCCGGACAAAATAATTATTAAAATAGAGTTGTCTCATAAAATATGAGATATTCCAGGGATGTGCCGTAGACTATGAAATCTACTTTACGCGGTTTGTCTACTCGTTGTCTACATATTGTTTACATCCACTTTTTTCCATGTAGACTATGTAAACTATGTAGACAATAGAAAATTTGAAATTTGAGTAATTTTTTTGAAAGTTTGCATTTCATTAAATTTATATTGTATTAAATTAGACATCATCTGCAGTTTAATTAACATTACAAAGCAAAAAACAAAACAAAGCAAAAACAGAAACATAACCTTAAAGGCCTGCCAACAGTCAAAAATTGTATACTTTACGCGTTGTCTACATATTTTACACGTTGTCTAGATAGATTACATAGTTTACGTTGTCTACGCGTTGTTTACACCAGATCTTTGTTTACGCGTAGATGCCCATCTCTGAGATATTCTCTCGCGTCTCAAATGCTTTGAATAAAACGTTTTTCAAAACTGGTTTGAAACAGTGTCACATGACGTCATAACTTCTCGGCGCGAGAAAATGATTTTAAAACGTGGATTGGAATATTTGGAATATTGGATTGTATTTGGGAACGGTTTGATTCGAACCTTGATGTGACGTCATGAGTTCATCCCGACAATGAACTGTTTCCATTTAAGGCAGCTTTTTAATGACAATTGACAGGCTTGAAAGTTGTATTTTTACTGCCTAGAGATGCTAAAGTCTGTACTTTTTTTAAAGATAATTTCCCAAGTCAAAAATTTAGTAACTATGTTGGCAATACAAGCCTTTTCTACATAAAAAATTTGGAAGCATTGACAATTTTACATTAATTCTTTTCACGTGGCTCCGGTTTAAACTAACCGGGTTACAAAACGGTTAGTAGCGGTATGTCAAGTTTGGGCCGGTTTCTCAATAGCGAGTCACCCCCGGGTTAAGCATAACTCCAGGGTAAACATAGCAACTGGACACACTGAACCCTGGGTTATAAATAACCCGAAGGTGACTCACTATTGACAAACTGGCCCTATGATACCGTTTTCTAACCCTGTTACAAAGTGACGTGATCGATACCACTCAAATTTGAGCGGTATATTGCGGTTTGTTAAACCGGAGCCACGTGAAAACGGTTATTGTATTGCCAACATAATGTCATTTTGACTTTTATCCTAAAAAAAAACAGACTTTAGCAATGAACTTATGCTGAGTTCGGCTTTGCACTCCACGGAGCGGAATAGGATTGCTTATCGGCCTCGTTTTTGTTAATCGCCGCCATATTGTGTGCCACCATTTCCGACGTCATTAACAAGTCGTCAGCTGTTTGCACTAGAGGTCATAGTTTAGAATTTAAATTAGTTGTATTCCTTTCAAAAGTTTGAAACACTCGAGCTACTCGCTCCGGTGTTTAGTAGCCTCCGATATGCAAGGAACAGATGCGTGGTGCAACAAACACTTTTCGAAAGGAATAAGCGCGTGAAACCCCGGACTCCGGAGCTGTTCCGGAGCTCCTCCTAGGTGTGAAAAGAATACAACTATCGATGAAAAATAATGTTATTTAATTTTGATTAGCATAATAGGCAAAAGGGAAGATGAAAACGAGATCTAAAGGAGAGTTTTTTTAGAATGTTAATTAATCCAGGTACTCTTTTCGTTCTGAACAAACTGACTGTAATCACATAAGGTTTTTTTATGAAACGTCAAAAAAACAGTTAGGGCTTAGGGCCAATGAAATCGTTGTAAAACCGGATGAAAATTATTTGGAACAAACCTCGAGTGACTTCGATCAGTTTTTTCAGATGGAAAGAATACCTGGATTGTAGTGAAACCAAGTATGCATGAAGCAGAAGCCCCCGGAATCATAAGCTGTGGTACAAACAGCCTACGTCAAGGCGAGAAAAGACATGCTAGCCACGTCACAATTGGTGATTTGGTATAGTGGGGGGCTTCAGATTTGTTCCACGCAGACCTTATGAGCATAGGCTATCCTGTAGTAGTAGTGTGTATTATCCTTACCGGAAACAGACGCGCAGGGGCGAGTTCTGGAATGACACACCCAGTGTGAGTGTGACACCGCTGACAAAGATGGCAGATTTCCTTTTCTCTGGGTCCCTCCCATTTAAAGTGAGACAAACGATATGATTTTTACTCTACCTATCTCTTTTTATCTTATTGTATTCCTATAGCCAATAATGGAAATAATTGTTTGAGGTCAAGGTGAAAATTCCCAATGATAGTGCGGCAGCTTAGCGAGGATATTTCAACATATTGTGTGCTTTTTGATAAAGGCACCAAATTTTGCACAGACGTAGGCCGATGTAATATGAACAAATTTGGATGTGGAGCCATCGGCCAACTGCCCGTCGGCGGAGTTGGCGTCGATTTTCCAAAATGGCCACCAGTGGGCATCCCGAAAGACAACGAAAGTTAGCTAAAGTTTGCTGCTGAAGGTTTGTTAAATTAACACGCACTTAAGGACAAGGCCTGTGTAGTGAAAATTTCAAGCTCCCCACCACGTGTAAGTACCAGTGATGGCGTAGGCAGCGTGTCGTTTCTCGCCTTGACGCAGGGCGTTTGCACCACAGGCTTTGATTTCGCTTGCTTTTGCTTTATGCGCACTTGTTTGTACCTGGGGGGCTTTATTTGAAATTGATGCAACTTTGCGTACACGCAAATATGACACAAATGACGTCAGTTGCGATTGAAAAAGTGCATGTCAAATAAGCCGTGCACCAATTTTCAATCACGAATGACGTCATTTGCGTGTACGCAAAGTTGCACCAATTTCAAATAAAGCCCCCCTGGATTTTTTAAGTCATTTTTAGAAAGCGCCTTTCGTTCCTTTCCTAAAAATTACATAAAAAATCCGGGTCCTTATTTTAAAAAATTAAGTTGGTGATGGTAACTCGATCACGAAACGTCGGATTTAAAAATTAAAGATGCCATGTTGTAGAGCGAAAAAAATGATAAAACTTTAAAAATATAAATTGTGTCTCGAATATCAATCGTTTTCGGAATGATTGATGAAATATTTTCGGGCGTCTTTCAGAAATCACCCTGTATTTCATAAACTAAAAAGAATTTGGTAATACTGTAAACAAGTCTTAACTGTGAATCAAAAAAGGCAACTTTTTTCTAATTTAACGTCATTGAATTTAACCGACCTTCTTACCGTTTCGGATATAGCAATAGTGGTAGCACTTAAAATATACACCCTGTATATGCATAAAGCAAAAGCCCGCAGAATCATAACCTGTGGTGCAAAACAGACTACGTCAAGGCGAGAAAGGACATGCTTCTATGTCACAATTGGTGATTTGGAGTGGTGAGGGCAATGAAGTAGAAAGAAGTTTGGAATAAGCTTTGCGTCATTAAATTGATTCCAGAATGAGATAGCGCTAGTAAGAGCAAAAAATCTATTGGATCTCCTATATCTCTCATTCTAACCCTGAGTGAGAGCGCTAGTAAGGGCAGGAAAATCTCCCGGATCTCTCCTGTTCTCTCATTCTAATGTTGGCCGCAAATATAGGTATTGAGTAGATAGGCAAAGGGCTATTCCAACCTTCTTACTACTTCATTGGGTGAGGGGCTTATTTGTTCCACACCGGCCTTATGAATGAGGAGGCTATCCTGTAGTAGTAGTGTGTATTGTCATTGCGTGTATTATCCTTAAGGCACAGCTTAAGGGCGAGAACCCACGGGCGTAATTGACGTAAGCGTAACTAATCATGTGATGAATTTGTACGATTTCATTGGCGGCAATGCAGCCATCTTGGATTTTTGACATTACGCTGCCGCTACGGCAAAAAGTTGGGTTTTGTTTAGTCGAACGTATTAAGAGCAAGGCTAGGCGCGGCCAATGAAGAAATGCCGCGGCTCCCGAATGCTTATCCCCATCACAAATTGGAACATGTGTTTTTGCGGATATTTTGGGAAGCGATGCCATATTGAAAACCTAAATTTTACCGCCTTTTGAAAATATAGGAAGTGCGCATGCTCGCTTCTCGAGTTTCATCTCGAGCTTATGGATATGAATTTAATTCTTTTCACTCTAACTCTACTTGGCTGTACTCGAACGATGAGGAGCTTGCACTATATTTGTTCCCAGTGGCCTGACCCACAGCCTCCTATAGTTAACAAGCCATGAAATTGGAAATGACGGCAACGTCGCGTATGGTGCTATTTTGTTATTGGGTTATGTGTTTCTGTGTATTGCTTTCATTGTGTATTGTTGCAATTTAGTATTTTTATGGGCATTATTGACGAAAAAGTGGATAGAAACACACCAATATATTGCCCATATTTAGTTGATACCTGTTCCTTTGTGCTTTGATTGCAAATTTTTAGCAAATGGGTACAGGAGCAAAAATGAAGGTAAGGTAAGGTAAAACAATAAAAACAATATTAATATTTGTCTGCAAGAGCATAGGTCTCGATATATTACCTAAGATATTTAAACTTGTTCCCAGATGCCATGAAACTACTGTGTTCCTGGGTGCAAATCGAACTATTAGGAGTTCCTTAAAAACTGAAGAAATGCAAACATTTTTATTTCCAAAAAAATTCTGAAGTGCAAAAAATGTGGATGAAAGCAATACACCAAGATAATTATACCCGAGATTATACAATAACGAAAAATTCTGTGGTGTGTTGTAAACATTTTGAAGAAACCGAAATAATTAGATTTGAAACAAACAAGGATAAAGGCGTAGTTCGAGAGTTCAAACTAAAACGTCCAACTCTTAAAAGTAGGTACCTCTTATTTTCGAAAATCAGCTCAAGTATTTGAATGGACTTGCCTTCCGAAAAAATCCCGAAGAAAGAAAAAGTTAGATTTTCAAAAGACATACTGAAACAGGCCTATAACACTTTAGACTCTAGAAATATATTCATTTAAATCAATTATTTACTGTTCTTATTTACACAAATAGTTAAATTATTCATTGAATTACTGTTTTTGGCCCTTTAGTACAATAAATTATGTATTTTTTGTGATTCATATTAATAAAATAAAAAATATATATTTATACAAACACCACCAGCACCACTTGGCGGTAAGATTGCGGTGTTGCCTTTTTAAGGGGCTGTGCCTGACCCGAACGATTTTGCAGTGAAAGGTGTCAAGGGAGTCGAAAGAGTTGCAGCCGAGCTCACCTATGATAGAACAATCACAGAAAATCAAAGGAAAAGGACTACGACAACAAATAAGTAAATTTTCATTACAATCTGGCAAAAAATAAACAAGATATTGGTGTAAGAAAATGTTTTTGTTTTGGTTTTGATGCACTACATGCGGGATGTTACGCTAAAATTGGCGTAGGGTTGACGTTCATGCCGATTACGCTAATTACGCCCGTGGGGATTCGCCCTAAAGGTACGGTTTGTTAGGAGCAATGTTAGGAGAGTACATACGCGACGCACAACTGACAACGTAAACGTCGTCATTGGTTCAGGTATGACGTACACCCGTTACCTGACGTCAGCGTCAGAAAACGGGTGTACGTCATACCTGAACCAATGACGACATTTACGTTGTCATTTGTGCGTCGCGTACTATCCTAACCATTGATCCTAACAAACCGTACCTTAAAGGTAGGGGGGATTTGTTACACACAGGCCTTATGAGGATAAGCCATCCTGTAGTAGTGTGTAATGTGTATCATCCTTGCCTTAAGAGCGGCTTCTCATGAGCGTAATTTGACATTTATGGCGTGAAAGCGCAAGGAGAATACCAATGAACTATAACCAAAAACTGGAATGCTAACACATAAGGACGAACTTGAAGCCTAGTGTGGCTGCTGCGGAGGGGATACCTGTTTTTGTCGCACTCATTATGTTAAATGGCGAAAATTGCTTCCAACACGTATTCCAATCGATGAAACCTGTGAAGGGAAATATGACAAAACTTTCGAAAACGTCATATGTCAGCGAGCAACAGAAAAAAACAAAATTCCCCCTTGTGGCATCTGTCTTTCATGGCTTCATTTTTTTGGCAGATATGGCAATGTGTGCGCATTCCAGTTTTTAGCTATAGTTCATTGGAGAATACACACTCTAAGGAGTGCTTATCGGCCTCGTTTTTGGTAATCGCCGCCTTATCGGTTTTCAACCATTGCCGACGTCATAACTAAGTCGTCAGCTGTTTAAAAAGTCTACGTCAAGGCGAGAAACGCCATGCTGCTTACGTCAAAACTGGTTGTTTGGCTTGGGGGGGGTTATGGCGGGATTTGTTACACACAGGCCTTATGAGGATAAGCCATTCTGTACTAGTAGTGTGTATCATCCTTGGTGACAGCGTACCTGAATGCAGAATTCCGATTGGCCAAAGTCCCGCCATATTGGATACGCTGACACTATGCCGCAGATATGCCAAAAGTTGAGCAAAGTTCAACTTTTCGCGTAAAAATTCAGCGTTTTTAGAGGTTAGGGTTACAACCGTTCCGTTTTCTTGATTTTTGTAATTTACTGTCTATATTTGTAACTATTTGGAAATAAAGCAAAAACAAATACAAATTTGTACAATCAAAATTCAAAGAAATATTTCAAAATTTAGAAAAAAAATATAATTTTAACATACGCGGCGGCGTAAATTCTCCATTCCATGTGAATGTTGCGCCAAAATTCACGTATTCAGCATTTGCGCCAGTTATGTCAAGTTTACGTTCATGAGAAGCCGGCCTAAGGCAATACAAGCCTTTTCTACGTGAAAAATTTGAAAGCATTCACAATTTTACATTGCCAACATAATGTAATTTTGACTTTTATCTTTAAAAAAAAAACAGACATCAACAACCTTGACTTTATTATCCTTAAATAACGTCGACCATAGTGCTACATCATATAATGACCGCGATTACCAAAAACTACAGTGGCTAAATAAACCTTTGCATACAGTGGCGACAATAGAGGTCCCGCCGCCCTCTTGTTCCCAACCTCTTGTTTCTTTTAAATATGAATTTATAGGATTTGAATGGACATCTTTCATAAAAAATTGAAATCGACGTATTTGATGACTATTATTAGGTCCATCAAATACATCATCGTTTTCCATGTTTTATGATGGACATTCCCTAAATCCCATATATTCATTTTTGACATAAGCAATATGTGGGAACAAGATGGCGGCGTTTTCAATATAAATATATGGGATTTTAGAACCAATCAAAAATAGGACAATTGTCGCCACTGTGGGTAATAGAGTCACTGTACCAAAAACCAAAAACGAGGCATATGAACAATCCTTTATTCTTGGTAGTGTGTAAAATCCTTGAGTCCGGTCCTATCCTATTTGAAAACGTCATCAAGACCGCATGAAGAGTGCTCTCGTTTCCATTTTTCCTTATTTATTATAGCAATCTAAAAAGAGACGGGAATAATCCAGACAGGATCCGCCTATAAAAGTATAAAAGTAATTAACTTAATAAACATGACATTGACGTCGTTTTGAAAATGGCGAAGTGCTAAATTGTTTGATACGTCACAATTTTTTTTATTTTCCTTTATTTTTTTAGAAAACTTTTAAGTTTATTTCATTTAGTGATCCCTGCTCAAATCCATTGAAATCCATTGGTAAGATTCTATTAAGGTGAGCAACTATGATACACATAACCCCTGAATTCTGAAATATAAATATTGTGATTTTTCATTGATAGAATCCTCCCAGATAAATTTTCCCAAAAGCTGACACTTGTGACTAATTATCTAACTAAACAAAACCATTTTATCATTAGCAATTATCTTGGTTTCAGGTCGACAATATGGAAAATGCATCAGGATCAAGGGGGCCCTCCAAACTGGAACAGACCCAGCAACAAGTTAACGAAGTTGTGGGTATTATGAGAGTCAATGTCGAGAAAGTACTGGAAAGAGACCAAAAACTTTCCGAGCTAGACTCTAGAGCTGACGCTCTACAAGAAGGAGGCAAAAGGTTCGAACAACAAGCTCAAAAACTGAAAAGGAAATATTGGTGGAAAAACCTTAAAATGATGATTATTATTGGGGTTATTGCAATGATTTTGTTAATAATCATTATTGGTGAGTAGTTGCTTCTTTTCTGCTTATCTTATCTTATTTAGGGAATTAACCTAGGAATTAATTTTTGTTAGCTAAAAATGAGGCTAAAAACATTCCTTGACAATTAATACTTTAGTCAGATTACTAGGGAATCCTTTTATCTTTTTTGCATGACTATAGAAAAGATCATTTTATATCTATGGATAAAGCCTAGTGAAAGAATCTGGCTCCAGTAAGTGGAATGTTTAGAACAAGGTTTAGACAATTTTTTTCTGGTATTTTGTTACTTACAGATAAAAGTTCATGTGGATAGAAAAAACTAGGAGTTTATGAACTATGATCTATTTAGGATCAGTTCAATCAGTGACAGGTGATTTGAGATTGGTTAACAATCACCCTGGCTGGTCAGATTTCCTTTAGTTTCTAAACAGTTGGATCAACATTAGCTCTGTTCCAATTGACATGAAAATCGTATCAGAACCAGTAATTTCCATTGGCCGCCTATTTTTCAATGAGTCGAATGTTTATCCTACTTGACAAATAAATTGATGGACTGGAAATTACTGTTCTGGAATGGTTCTCATGTCGGTTGGAACAAAGCTATTGAGTGGTAGTTTTTTTTTCTTTTCTAAAATGAGCCTTTTTAACTTCTTCAGAAAGTTCATGCCAAAGCTCATCCACTATACATTAATCAGTGATCATCTACAAATTATTGTATTTGTTGCTTCAAGTCAGAAATATCAGGTTTAACTTAACAATGCTGAAATTGAAATCATCATATTATATTAAGTTTTTATTTTGCTTGTTCAATCTATGGGCAAGTTAGTTATTTTCGATTTTAGAACTCGAAACTCCCATGATTTATTTCACTCTAGTTCTATTTGAGGTTTCTAGATCCAAACTTATTATGTATTTTCCATACTGAACTGCTCTAAGATCCTTTTCGGAAGTTAAAAATAGTTTCCTCAAACACCATAAGTTGGGTATCCAAAACAACAGCTAAATAGGTATTCGATTTAAAATCTATTTTGGATTGGATCCTTATTTTTGCATTTTTATATTGCAATGTTATTCCATAAGGTGTTTACATACAGCTTTGTTTACTACCCAAAATCATATAGATACCACATACCTACTTTAGTTTGTTGATAATTAACTACTTTTAAGTGTTAACCTTTTGACACTTCAACCAATTAGGTATTATTTTCAGATAAGTATTTCAATTTTTTGAAAACTATAAATCATAATGATAGGTAGTAGTATTTATTTGGAATTAGCACATGGAAAGTTTGCAAATATTATTTCCACCAGATGGGCAAGCTAAACCGAGAGCAAAACAATGTCAAATAGTTTTTCCGAAGAACTACATTTAGGAAATTACGATGTACAACTTTATTGCAAAATGGGTCCACTATCTATAACTAATATCTCTACACACATAGGCATCAGCATCAAAAAAGAAATTGCAGGAGAATGGAGCAGTTCCATAATATGTTGTATCTAGTGGACGAGCTAGTGGCCATTTTTACCTAATTAAGAAACTAATTATTTTAATAATTAATTGGTTGGAAAATGGATTATTGATAAATGTATTCATGGTTAGGGTAGAGCAATGGATTTTGTAAGTGCCACAGTTCAGTAAAGGTTCTTAGTGCCTGAAACTTCTGCTCTATAATATTTTTAATGCTGATTTCCTTTTACATAGTTGTGAAAAGGACGATGCGAGGGGTAGGTCACTCCCCAATTAGGTGTACAAATGTTGAAATGTAATTGAAAAAATACATTCAATTACCTCAATTACCTTGCAATTACGTTCAATTACATTTAATTACACTCAATTAAAATAATTACACTCAATTACAAATAATTACAATCAATTACATTCAATTACAATTCAATTACCTCCAATTACGTTCAAATACCGCTCAAATACATTTAATCAATTACAATCAATTACATTCAATTATATTCAATTACATTCAATTATATCAATTACATTTAATTACGTTCAATTACATCCAATTACATTTAATTACATTCAAATACTTTCAATTACAATCAAATACATGGCCTCTCCATCATCCATCTTTATTTCCAATAAAAATTAATTACATTTAATTTTATACATTCAATTACAAACAAATACATTCAATTACAAAAAAATACATGTAATTGAATGTATTTGTAATTAGGTGTACAAATTCTATTTAGTGACCTACCCCTCAGGACGATGTAATTAAATTAAATGTGTCACAAGGATTGATTATTATTGAGAAAAAAATTATTTAACACATTGTGTGCCACGCGTATATTTGGAAAGTATCCTAAGGGGCCATGTGCGATTATTACTAAATCTTTGTTCAAATGTGATTAAAATTGTAGTTTTTTGGATAAATAATGATTCATTTATTATTTCGGCCTTTTTTTCCATTTTTGTAATGTCTTTCATATATGCCAGAGGTGGCCCCTCACAGTAATTTTCATTTTTTTTTTACCGTAGGAGGCCACATAACGTTTATTTTTTGTTTTGTGAGTTTGAAATAAATATTTTTGAATAATAAACCTAAAATTATGTTGTTTCATTTACATTCTCGAAAAAAAAATAGTAATTATTCGAATTTGCTCAAACCAAATATACCAAAATGTTCGTGGCAGGCCACAGATTAATAACCCATACGATAAAGCGCGTAGCGTCTGGCATATCTGTAAGACTCGGCCTGGTAGTGAATATTGTCTGTCTTGCATATATGACAGACGTGGCCCCTCCGAAAGTAGCACTGTCTGTCACATATGCCAGACGTGGCACTCAATGTGTTAAAGCGTAAAAAAATATCAACAATTCAAACTCTTTTTGTTTCAGTTTCACTTACAAGTGGTGGCTCCTCTTCGAAGGATACTGATGCCAAACCTGTTGAACCAGGGAACTCAACATAAACTAGATTTCTCCATCTAATATACACATATCCTTCTTCAGTTTCACTTTCAATCCGTAATTTTTCTAGACCCATTTCCATTGTTTATTTTGCTATTTTATCCTGAAGAACTGGTTTTTTAATCACTTACAAAGTGACTGGATTAAAAAAGTGCCTTAAATACTGTGTCAAAAATTCTAAATGCACAAAAACAAACAAAAAAAAAGTATTTTCTTATTGATGTTTTATAATTTTATATCTTTTAACTCATTTAATTATTCTACTTATTACTGTTATTGTTACATTTATTATTAATTAATCATTTTGGACCAAACCCATAATTTCTTTATTGAGATTATTTTTTCAATCTGTATGGATTTTTTTCTCTGGAAGTATGGGCTTGGGTTCTTTTTATTGTAACCAATCAATTTATTTGACAATCGTATAAGCTAGGTTTGGAATTATATTGAGTTTATTAGTATTAAAGTGCTGGAAATTTTTTTCGAGAAGTTTATCTTTATTTTTAGATTTATATATTATCTAGTTTACTGTTGGATAACTTGTGATTTTTTTTGTGTTTAATTTCACAATAAATATTTATTAATAATTATGTATGAGTTTAAACTAATTTGTTTATTAGGTGTTTAATATGTTGACCTCACTTTATTTAAACCTTAAGTGTTACTTAAATCTAAACACAAAGTGAGCAATTGACCTGTCTCGCATAAATAGAAAGAGAGCTTAATTGTAATAAATACAAGTTGAAAAGTAATAAAAGATGACAAGAGCGCGCAACTAGTGGGTTGCAGTGTAGCCAGTTTGTATTGTTGCAGAACAAATGTAGACAATACAAATCGAATATTTTACCAATAAAAAAGTGATTTTTCACAACACTTTAAATCAGACAAAAGAAGGGCTTAAAAGTGTATGTTAACATCGTTTGCAGTTTTATTCTGATAAATGTTTCATCCAGCAACATCACACAATGAAAGTGCAAAGGAATATGTCAAGTATAGTCTGACATAATTTCAAACAACACTGCAGTGAGTTCAGAAGTAATATGTGAAGTATTAGTTTGCTCTTTGTCGAATTATATGTTACAAAGAAAGAAGGAAAGATTAATTCTGAACTGGCATTTGAATAAGAATATGACGCAAGTCCGTAGCAAACTTGCTTCTCATTGGACGCTCACCTGCAACTCACGAGTTGCGCGCGTAGGCAAGGTAAAAAAAGATAAAGTGCGTTTTTTTTTTAAAGATAAAAGTCAAACTGACATTATGTTGGCAATACGATGTAAAATTGTCAATGCTATCAAATTTTTCATGTAGAAAAGGCTTGTGTTGCCAACATAGTTACTAAATTTTTGACTTGGGGAATTATCTTTAAAAAAAAAACAGATTTTAGGTCAATTTTTATTTGTAAGTTGCAAGTAGGTACGAATTTCTCGAAATATACCTAGTTGGTTGCTGACTTTATTCTAAATTTAGAAATGTATGCAGTCTGGCTGGCAGGAACAGGGGTATCTGTAATGAGCATAATTTACTTATGGAATCCTTGGCAAATGCACTTATTGATGTATTCAAATTTCAAATACATTTAGGCATAGGTACCTATTGGAGTGAATAGAAACTTGGTTAACTTATTGTTTTTATGACACACAAAAAAAAGTCTCTGTTTATAGACAAGATCGATCAGCAAGTATATTTTCAGCAGGAGGTGGACTAGGTGGAGTTTCAATTGCTGTCTGGAAGAATAATCCATGCAAACGCTTATCCCCTTCTACAGACTTGAAACATGTTTTTTTTTTGTAAGCATTGAAATTTCAGAGCTGGGATTCTGTAATAAAGATATTTTCGCTATCTCTATCGACTTCCCTTCTCTATTGATTTCGAAAACAGAGAAGAAGACAGCAAAGTGCCATAAGAATAGGGAATAGGGATAATGATCTCTATCCATTACAGATATCCGCCCCAGGACTAGCTTGATCAGTTTAAGGCCATTTTTAGATGTATGCATCTGTAGGTACAGCCCGTCGATTTTAATCTGATACTCCAAAGGAATGTCAATCAATCAATCAATCAATCAAAATATACTTTATTGTCGGAAAATAAATTTCATTAACAAACCATGGTCTTAAGTAACGAGCAATTATAAAATTATCGAGTTATAAAAAAAAGGGACAACCAATAAAATAAAAAATTAACATAAATGTCGAAGCATAATCCTAAGCAACACAGAACACAGGTACAATTACTACTTTAAACTATACTATGTGACAAAAAAAACGCATCACTCACTAAAAGTGTATATTTTGTTAACAAATTTTCTTGGCATATACAAACTAGATAACAAAAAAAATGCATCTTCCGACTTCCACCAAAAGTGTATATTTTTTGAATAAATTTTTTTGGTCTTGGTCAAAACTAACGTAAACATATGTAGAAAATTTGTTAAAAAAATATATAATTTTCGTTGGTGATGCGTTTTTTTCATCATTCAGTATTGGTCCAAGAGCCCAGAGCCGCCAGACACAACTTATTTTCTAAAGGACAGAATGTGTGGGATTGTATAGCACTTATATGTACTATGAACGTATGTATACCCGCTAAGTTGGGTAGACGGCCAATTTACCAACACCAGGTGCGAAAGCTGAAGAAAGCATTAACTTTTTTTCTAACACTTGATTTTCATATATGGTATTTGGTATTGGGGAGACTATTTCATAACTACATGTGCTCAGCCAGACCAATCGCACCAGCCAAACATCCTTCCAGACACAAAATAATTTTTCCGGGAGTGTGAGCGCGAGGGTACTATGCATGCGTTTGAGAGTGAGCAAGATATCTATGTCAACTGATTTCCCCCTCTTAAACTTACAGTCTACTCCAGGGTAGAGTAGAAATGGGATTCGGTTTTTTCCCATAATAGGAAAAACCGTTATTTACAAATAACAGTCAATTGGCCGTCTACCCAACTTAGCGAATATATATACGTTCATAGTACCTATAATAGTACGGGATACGAGGCCTATTTCATCAAATCATTTTACACCGTCTTGCATTGTTATCATCAGTTAGATAACATGGTACTGAAACGCACTTGTGCAGGGAAATAGATAGGAGTGGGGGATTTCGCTGAAAAAAATGTTTCAGAAAATGTCATCATAAACGAGGAAAATATTTAATTATACACCGTCTTGCATTTATTTATTGAGTTAATTTGTACATAAACAAAATTGGATTAACACATGCAAGACATTTTCATGGGGGTTTTGGGGTTGTAATATAAGATGGAAATTGTCAATTTTTGAGAGGGGTGAAATATCATTTTACACCACTCCATTGTTGATTTATATCAAAGCTTGAATGTAGAATAGCCACTGGATACTGATACAAGACGTCCTGTAGAGGGATAACGGGCTGCAAGACGGATGTCAATGTGTTGTCTCATGAGGGAGTGCAAAATTATTTTACACCACTTCATGCTTATGTCCGCCGAAAGAATCTATGTTAAGAAATGGTATTACATCAGTCCAAGACGTTTTTTCTGGGAAAAAAGTTAAAAAATCCATTTTAATTTTTTCACTGAACTGTTGAGTTATTTACTGAACCGTTCAATGTTTATTCTTTTTTAAATCATACAGATGAAAAAGGACAGTTGACATAGCAGCTCAACAGGGGAGTCTGTTGAATACAGGAATTATAATTTTTGTTTACAATTTCAGACAGATCATTTGTTGTGTCATTTTCACATTTTTTTGCTGCTTTAAAATGAAATTCTTCAAATTTAATGCTTACAATCTGTTATGTGCACAAAACATATGTGTCATGGGATATCCACCTCAAAGAGAACCTAAATGATTAAAAGCCGTCAAAAATAAAACAATTTTCAATCTTTTTTTATTTGATGTCCGTAGAAACATTCATATATACATATTATTAGGAGAATTTCGCAAAATAGAATTATTCTACGTGGTGAAGAGCAAAACTATTTAAAATTAATGTGCATAATTTGTAATTTGAAGTAGTATTCACCTTTGTACCTGATAGATTGACCCTTGTCAAAATTAGTCAACTTCATCATCGTCTTGCAGTCCTTTCTTCCCATTTAGAATGTCTTGTATTTTTAAAAATGTTATCAATGTGTTCTATTTTTCCCATAAGTACCAGTGCAAGACGGTGTAAAATGATTTCTCCCTCCCTCATAAGACAACACATTGACCTCTGTCTTGCAGCCCATTATCCCCTCACAGTACGTCTTGCATCAGTATCCAATGGCTATTCTACATTCAAGCTTTAATCTAAATCAACAATTGAGTGGTGTGAAATGATATTTCACCCCTCTGAAAAATTTACAATTTCTATCTAATATTACAACCCGAAAACCCCCAGGAAAATGTCTTGCATAGGGTATTCTAATTTTGTTTGTGTACAAATTAACTTAATAAGTAAATGCAAGACGGTGTGAAATTGTATATTTTCCTGGATTATGACGACATTTTCTCAAACATTTTTATCAGCTAAATTCCCCACTCCCATATATTTCACTGCGCAAGTGCGTTTCAGCATCATGTTATCTAACTGATGATAACAATGCAAGATGGTGTAAAATGATTTGATGAAATAGGCCTCGTATCCCGTACTATAAAGGCCGAAACCCACTAGCAACACGCCACGTCATGCTTCGCCACGCCACGCCATGTGACGAAAATGTATGCGTATATTTTTCTATTTATTTATATGTGCTGCGTACACACTTGCCATACGCGACACCACGCCATGGCACGCCACGCCATTCATCCATTTACACACAAACTGTCCCACGTGAACCTGTGGTACATGGCGTGGGGTGGCGTGGCGTGTTGCTAGTGGGTTTCGGCTTAAGTGCATTAAGTGCTACTCAATCCCACACATATTCTGTCCTTTAGAAATTAAGTTGTGTCTGGCGGCTCTGGGCTCTTGGACTATATACAGGGTGTTCCGAAACTATTGTGCCAAAAATTGAGGAACGATAGATCTCGCCAAAATAAACGTTTTTTACTTATAAACCCATAGGCGTATGCGCTTTGATTAGGTGATAAAAGCACATTACAGTCCGCACTATGGTAGCCTCCTTGCATATGGAGAAACGTGTTTGAATAAGAAAAACCTTTGTTATTAAATAATATAGAACCCAAAAAGAATACTTGCAGTATTTATTTAAAATAATGATTCACATCAAAAGATGCTCAAAACTACGCGACCACCCGCCTCAATGCATTTGTAACAGCGTTGTAGTAGAAATATCGAGTAGATTTCTGCAGGAAACCCTTCCTGAAACTGTTTCCCTGTATGCCAGACAAACATAGGGTACCAACACGACAGACCACCACCACATTACTTGTTAGCCTTAAGACATCTGAACGAAACATCTGGAAAGAGTGATTGTTAAGGGGGCATGGACTCCACGTTCACCAGACCTGACGGAATGCGAATTTTTTTATGGGGTCATATGAAAGCTCTTGTTTACGACACTCCAGCTGAAACAGCTAGAGGAAGTTCGTAGGAAGGATTGTTGCAGCAGCTGCTGAAATTCTCGAAACACCATGAATTTTTCAACATGTTCAGGAGGCTATGCTACGGCGGTGTCACGCACGTATGGAGGTGGGTGGTCGTAGCTTTGAGCATCTTTTGCTGTGAATCATTGTTTTTAGTAAATACTGCAAGCATTCCTTGGGTTTTGCGGTTTTGCATCATTTAATAACACAGTTTCTGCTTCAAACACGTTTTTCCGTGTGTAAGGTGGCTACCACAGCGCGACCTGTAATTTGGCACAATAGTTTCGTTACACACTGTATATTCATATAAAAGATACAGCCCATACAGAAGAAACATAAAGATTGCAGTCAGAACAGAACAAAACAATGAAACAAACAAAATTAAAATTTTTCATTGAAAAACCCATTAATATGATAGTATAGTCCAAGAAACGGGGATCTGAAAGAGGGTTTACCTCAACATAATTAGTAGTTAACATTGGGATCAGTTCATTTTAATATGCTAATTAACATATTAAAGTTTGCGACCTTGTACTTCTGTAGGGTTTTCAGTTAGGGGCAACAATTCTGGTGCAGCCGCAATAAGGTGCATATCAACGCTCCCAATTGAATTAAAAATATCCAGCAAGGCAATATCACAATCATTAATATCAACAACATTCCTTATAAATTTCTAACTCATGAGATTGTTTCTAAAGTTTATGTTTTTCTTTCTTATTTAATATAGTAGACTTGCAAACTGTGCTTAAGCTCTTCGCTATACCAGTTTGGAAACTTTTTATTTTTAGCCTTACATTTAGGAACAAACATTTCTAAACCAGTGTAAACTATATCATAAAACCTATCCATGGCTGTATTACCTAATACATTTAACATTAAGAATATCATCCCAAGCCAAACTACAATAAATATGAATTTAGCTGGTGATAATCAGCTGTTTAAAAATCAAAATACCTACTCATATTCATAAATCATAACATTAGCATCTACTTTATCTAGTGGTACATTAAAATTGATTGCTGGATGATATTTATAACAGGGTAACGTTGATTCATCACAAAGTTCAACACAAACACTCTCAATATCACAAAAGACCAGATTAAGAATTGATCCCGTTGCATTAGGGACATCATTCAACTGGAATGAATTCATATAAGCCAACATATCTATAATAACAGAGGCTTGATGTGCAACATAATTTACGGTGACACTCCTAAGGAGTCAGTCATTCGACCATTCTGCTCCAGATAGGTTAAAATCACCGCGGATAATCATACTATTGCAACCAGAGACACTTATTACAGCCTCTTCCAGGGACGTACAATAATCATTATATAATTCTAGTGGAGAGCTAGGTGGAAAATATACTATACATTAACTAACAGTAGGTAGCTTGCAGTTTTCAAAATACATCAACACAAAGAGGTGTTCAACATTATTGATGTATGTATGTTGGACTCTCTCCAGTCAGTGTTAATATAATTTGGTAGTAAGTAACCAAACGACAGAACAATATTCCAAAATAGATCTCGCAAGGCAATAGGGTTGCCACCTGTCCGGTTTTCACCCGGACTGTCCGGTTTTTTAAAGGTTTGTCCGGTGTCCGGACGCATGATGAAAATGTCCGGGAATATCTGGATAACTGTATAATTAATAATAATTAATACTAAATATAAAATTTATAGACGATTTCCGATCGCCTTAGGATATACCTAACTAATTTCTGAACGTACCTACTTCTTGAATGACGGGTGTGTCACGAACGTCTCCGATTTCCAGTTAGCGACAGAAAAGTGGACTTTCTGCCTAGGCTAACCATTCAACAAACGTTATCAGCGCAATTGATAAATATAAAAAAGTGGATTATGCGTGAATTTGTAACAAATTCGGAGAAAAAATGATATGTTTCACACGGCAAAAGATCAGATTTAATGCCTTGGCTGGTTTCCTAGCTTCGCCTTCGGCTATGGAACATTAAATATTGTGCTTTTCTGCCTAATAAAACAAATAATTATGTATGTATTGTGTCGTTCTCCCTGTTCACTTACAAGTGTCTCTATTTTTTTATTTTTTTTTATTTTAAAATAGACGTAACTATAAGGGGTGCCGTCTAAAATTAGGTAGGTTCCTTCTTTAATTTTCGCCTAAAAATTCATTTCACAGATGAGTGTAAATTATGCCCCAAAAAAAAAATTAGCTTCGATTATGTACGGGTTTTCGAAATTCAAAAGGTGGCAACCCTACAAGGCAACAATATACTTTTTACAATTTCACAAAATTTACAATTTCTTGTAACAACGAACCCAAGCAGTTTTGAAGCTTTTATTTTATGGAATTCGAACAGCAGAATTATAAATCATCCGCCAACATTAACATATTCAGGAAACAATTTCACGATATCATTAACCCTTTCGCTGCGGCAAGCGCTCCCAAAGCCGTGCCCGCTGTGCGGCGTTTTTTGAGCCGTCTCGTACATATACGTCCGGAGCAGTGTACAGTAATTTTAGCATGAGAAAAATTGCATAATTTTTTTTAGTTTTCCAGATTTGTCTAATAGATAGGGTGTTTTTATGCTGAAAACACATTATTTATTTATAATAAATTGAAACAAATTACTCTCCCCAAAATAAAACCTTTATTTTTCCAAAATAAAAACACTTTCGTCATCACTTTCACTGTTCGCTAAAATGTCATACAGTTCCTGTTCTGTGTGAAACTTCTTATTGAATCGTGCCATTTTAAAACTTTGTAAATGAAATACCAAATACCTAAGCGCCAAAAACAAATAATATTTACAGCCTGAAACCACAATAGCCGGTGTATACCTACTTGTTTGCACTGCTCAGTGTAGGCGCCGCCCACATGACAAATATCGGCACCAAGCTGTAGTCCCAACCGTCCTGACTGATCGTACATATACGGCTATAGCAGTCTACCGCTCTAAATAGTTTTTCTGGGAGAAACGTAGATATACGCCTGGAGCGGTTTCGATCAAAACGTATTTATACGTCTGGAGCAGTTAAAAGGAAATGGAAATAAAGGCAGGCGACATGTGTCCACCCTGAGCTCAACCTCATCGTACCAGAGAAAGATGACCGATCACCTTTTACTCTTTTAAATCGACACGATAGGAGTATTTGACTCACTCAAAAACAAACTCCACATGAAACCCTACCGAGATCAATTTTCCGAGGAAAATTTGGTGAACAACATGATAAAACGCCTTGTAAATTTGTAAATTTCATCGGGAGTTGTTTTGGACTGATGCAACCGTCCCAGTCTTACATTTCTAGATATTTTGTGCCTCACTCTGTCCAAGATATGTAGGCTTCTCCAAAAAGAAGCACGCTACTTGGGTTATCCTGGTGCTCACTCCTTGGGGTGTTATTCTGCTTCCCCCTTCAACTTCAAAGTATTTCAGCCTCTTGCAAAACAGAGCAGAACATTCAGAGACAGGTCTGCTTTTTCTGTTTCTTGTTCACAAAATCTGCAGAAGTTACTTCCTCGGCTTTGCCCAGTGAGCAGACGGATGACCGTTCTAATGACTCTTCTATTATGTTGACTCAGTAGAAACAGTATAGGCATATAGCATTTATCTGCTTTCGATTGATATCAGACATCAAACTAAATCACTTACCTACTACCTACGTTAAATTTATTCTTCAAGACAATATGATCAGGAATTAAGAACTGATAATATAGAAAAGTTAAAGCCATTTCTTTCTTTTTGTTAATGGTATTTTTAACCTTTCAAGCAAATAGATGAACATACATTTAAGAATTTGTTTATAAGACATGTCCAATAATCAAATCACAATTTATTATAATTTTTAAATATATATTTTTATAAAAGTATATTGGTATTTTTATATAAAAGGAACTTGTACCAATATATACAAGCAGCTACGATTTACCTAAAGTACCTACCTACCTATGTAATATAAAAAATTAAGTAAGTCCGTATCACACAGAAACATTCAACTAAGTACAACTACATATTTTTACAAAAGAAAATGGATTTACTAAATACCTGTCTATTTAATAATATTATGAAAGGAATTTGATTGTTAATTAGGTATAGTCTCCTGTGTAATTCATATTAAATAGACATTATTTAGGTTCACTTTTCAATTTCAGGAATTTAGGCTCATTAGACTCTGAAACGTCCAATTTATTATCAATTGAATCTAATCATTGCTTTCTTGTCTTGGTCCTGCACCCCTACCACCACTTGGTCTACCGCCAAAACCACCCCGGCCTTTAAGCCCGCCAGGACCTGCCTTAACTCCATTAGGTCTCCTATCATCTTCATCCTCTGGACTATCTTCTATAGCTTTAACCCCATTACCATTTGCCATAGCTTCAATATTACTTTCTAGTTGTTGTCTCCACATACCAGCATAAATACCATCTTCTTTAAGTACCAAATCCATGTGCCGACCTCTCTCAACGATTTCACCATCTTTAACTACCAAAATTTCATCGGCGTTAATGATAGTTGATAGTCTATGGGCTACTACAACAGTGGTTCTGTTCACGCACATTTTGTTTAATGATTCCTGAATGTTTCGTTCAGTGTGGGTGTCTAGGGCACTTGTGGCTTCGTCTAACAGAATTATTGCTGGCGCTTTTAGGAGGGTTCTAGCAATTGCTACTCGTTGTTTTTCACCACCACTCAGTCGTAGACCTCTTTCTCCAACCTGAGAAGGAAAGACAATAATTCACTAGGATTTTTTTTATGCACACAGTGCCATTGCCTACCAGAGCAAAAAAAAAACTAACAACAGAGTACGCTCATTCTGGTTGATGTTTATTGTAATGTAATGTTGAATACTTACAGTTGTCTCATATTGTTGAGCAAAAGTCATGATCCTATCGTGAATATCAGCTCCTTTGGCAGCCTCAATAATGTCAGCATCTGCAGCACCTATTCGTCCATACTGGATATTGTATCTGTAATTATTACAAATTGATTATCAAGCTAACAATATTTCATAAATTATTACTTAATCGTTTGGTTGAAAAGCACAGTATCTTGTGGCACAACCCCAATAATACTCCTCAAAGATTGTTGCGTGATATCACTTTTTATATCTACACCATTAACCAATATTGAACCAGAATCAACATCATAAAATCTGAATAGTAATTTCATTATTGTACTTTTGCCACTGCCAGATGGGCCAACAAGGGCAACAGTTTTTCCAGGAGGAACGGAAAAGCTGACATTTTTAAGGATGGTTTTTTCTGGAGTGTATTTAAAAGTGACATTTTTGAACTCAATTCCAGCCTCTTTGGCTTCCAGAGCCTTGGCATTTGGCGCATCAACGACTTCTTGTTCTTGACGTAGAAGATCAAACATATTTTCCATATCGACAAAGTTGTTCTGGATTTGTCTGGAAAGATTAAAGAAACCGGTTTAAGGAAAATAATATTTCTGTAAAAAGGTTTTCCACAATAAAACAATTATAATGCCAACTATTTCCTCCACTGCTCCATCTATTTTGTCCTTTATAAATATGTCCTTAAACCTACCTTTCGTCCTTTCATCAAGCACACCTACCTTTCGTCCATTCACAGGCAAATTCAACTAAAAACATTCTTACCTGTACTGCATTCCGAACATATTCAATGGCATGTACAATTGGACAATATAAGAGGCAAATAAAACGTAGTCCCCAACTTTAAAGTCGTCAGTGTTGACAATGTAATAGGCGCAAAGTAAACTGCCAAGAAGTAAACCAACGTTCGCGATAAAGTTTTGTGCTGAGCTCATCATGTTCATTGTTATGCTCGATTTCCATTCTTCTGCCTATAAGTACGGTGAAATTTGACAGTTTTAATTGATGTTCAGAATCCAAAAATCAAACTACTAATTGAACAAGTTAAGCAACAGAAATTCTATGACTTTCAAAACAGTATTTTTACCTGGAATGTAGTAATGGCATCTTTGAAAGCTTCAACTTCATAATTTTCAGCTCCGTAGTATTTAACAGTTTCAAAATTCAATAGAGAATCCACACTTCTGGCACGAGTGGCATTGTCAGCTAAATTCATGCGTCTTCTAAATTTTGATCTCCATTCGGTGATGGAAATTGTAAACACTAGAAAAAAGTTACAATAATTTACTAACAAATAGTGATAATAATGAAAATGTACTTACTTAGATAAAGTACCATTGTAATACTAACAATAAGCCCGAACTGATAGTTGAAAGCAGTGAAGAAATAAATAATTGCAATCAACAAATCGGCAATTGTTGGTCCAAGCGAGAACAAAATCATTTGTAGTAGAGAGTTGATGCTTTCTGTGCCTCTATCCATGATTCTGAGTACTTCTCCAGTTTTTCTGTTCAAGTGCCATCTTAGAGAGAGACTGTGTAGGTGTCTAAAGAGTTCGACCTGAGAAAATGGTACACTGTGAGTGGTTATAGAAAAAAAAGAGAATGGTGCATTACGAAAATGCATCGACAACTCGGCTAGGATTCTAAGAATCGAGTTGTTTACGTCTAGCACGACTATTCAGGAAATTCGGGATTTGTGGAGTGAGTTTTAGTGAACCCAGAATCCGTAACAATATCTATTTTACAAATTCTATGTAGGTACTACAAAAGTCATAACCCGTGAAGAAAATAATATACTTATATGACCAAAATTAATTAAGATTGTGAAATTGAAACCTAAAAATTGAGATACTTATTGTAGCTTAGGGCAAAAATGCTTCAATCAAGATCAAGCTGGATTCATTTGAGCAGAAACCTTTTACATTTTAAAAAGACAGTCCTCTTATGAGGGTACATGTGGATGAAAAACCAATTGATTATGATCACATATTGAACATAACATTACAGAAGTGTGCTTAGAGAATTTAATAATTGACCTTCAATTGTTATCTATATGATAATTAAACAATGATGGTTTCAACTGAATTTTGCTACTGATTATTCAATTAACTAAAAGGATCCTAAAGCAAATACTCTAATATAACGCAATAGGTAGGTACTTAGCTAAAATTAACACTATACAGGGTGATTTACGTAGCCCGTGTATCAGATTCCAGGTGGATTAGATACTGTCTCTACTAATTCACCTGCAATCTGGAAAACTCCTAATGCACGAGCCAGATAAATCATGATGTAAAAATTCTATTTTTTTCACCTGGACTTCCTTGGTAGTGTACTGTTGCACTCTAATCCACAAAAACGACCTCAAGTTATTCAAGAATCCCATCCCACCTCCTCCGCCTCCTTGCAGAAATTTAAAAGCTACATAAGTCAAAATCCAGTCCCAGCGAAACTCCAAGGCGTGTGTAGGTGTTTCCGTTAAGGAATCAACTGGAAAAGAAAATAGTTTTCAATGATCCAGTAATTGATTCTTTGCTCTGACATGAGATTTTCTCATTAATTTATCTATATTTAAGATATTGAAAATGGCAAACAAAGCGAAAGCAAACAGAGAATTTAAAAATAAAATTAGACACAATATGAAATACTAAATACTTGGGGAAAGAGAACACAGTTGCAACAACAGGTCATAGTGCTACTTACCAATTTTTTTATTAAATATTGGAATATACAAGTTTATAGCTCTTCCAAATCCCAGTAAAATGAAGCAAATTATCACCCTGGTTTGTAATACGCAGGATTTTTTGGGCCAAAGAAATGGGGATAGTGTTTTGATCTTTTTCCAAAACCCTCGCCATGTCGACTGGTTTTGGTCTTTGTTCTGAAAAATGTTGGAAATTGTAGACTTTTTTTTTAAATAATAATTTGGTCTTACCTTAAATTTAAGTTTAATATTTATATTGTCGAATTCTATTTTATCCTTTTTGGGTGCGTTGGGGTCTGTGGCATCTTCTTTCTCTCCTTTTCTGCAATAATAATAGTGGTACAAATTATTTAGTAGTTTAAGTAGGCATGTATAGGTCTTGACAAAATTTATATTTTTTTATATACAAGGTGTCTAGAATAACTTGAAGTATATGGGGATTTTCGGAACCATTGAAGACACCCTGTATAACATATGTATATTATAAATAATTCCAATTATCATTTATATGCAGTGTGTTCACATTAGGGGTCACCTTTGCTTCTTGACTGATTTCTTAGATTTTAAAGAAAGGTGTGCACATTCAATATAATCCAAGCTAAGATTCTCCTACTCCATGTAATCTGTTGAGTTAGCAGCATCGGCATAGTACCGATTAAAACCACGCCAGTCGTTAACCTCCAGCAAATGCGGACTAAGTACAAAAATACTTATTTTATATAGGGTTTTTGTATTGATTAGTTTAATATAAATAGCTGTAATTATTTCAATAAAATCAGTATCTAACAAATCATGTTTGTACTCACTACAAACTCAATTACCCCTTGCGGTATCACTTCATGTCTGAATAGAGTCAACATCAGCGCGCAACATACAGTAGGTTTTAAAGGATTTAATCGATAGTGTTTCATGAAATTTTTACCATAAATATCCCAAATACCATTTTACAAAAGAAAAAACTTGCATGCCTTGTAGGTAGGTAATCCTTATTATTAAGAATCATTCGTTAGATTTTTTTCTAAGAAAATTCTTGATAGTAATTTTCCAAATACAAGTTAAAAATAAAGTCGAAAGCACATTTTGAATACCTATAAATAACAAAATCGGTCAAAAATAGCTATTTATACAATAAGTTACGAAATGAGCGTCTTTTAGGCACGCGACGTGAAAATTGTCCAACGAGGCAAAGCCGAGTTGGACAACACGTCGAGTGACTAAAAGACATCGTTTCGTAACGTATTGTATACAAGATTTTTTCTACTGGCATTTTATAATAAAAAACACAATTTTATTTCATGTGAATACACCCAAAATCTTTGTTACCTGCTTTTACTTGACACCTGACACTTTTCATGCGATTTTCTTTTCAAAATTCGACATCAATAATTAAAATCCTAGAAAGTAGGTAATAACACAAACTTCTGTTTTGAGTAACCCAAACGTTCAATTCAGTAATTCCATTTTCAATATTCATAATAAATACAAAACAAAATTCAAATATGTGTTTAGTGTGTTTTTTATTTCTGAATAATGAATGACACTTTTAGGCACTAGTGCTTAAAAATTACTTTTACGCACTCATAAGTCACTTTTACGCATTCAAAAGTCACTTTTACGCACTGAGTGCCTAAAAGTAACTTTCACGCACTCAGTGCCTAAAAGAATGTCGTTTCAAAACTGAAATGACAATCGAAAAGTTGCTATTATGAAACGTCAGTAGAAAAAATAATTATAATGTATTTCTTAGACTACCTATTTTTTGACTAACCCTTCTAAAATATCCTATTTTGTTCTTGTGGGAAATGTGTTCTTTTTTCGACATGTTGCACAATATGGACAAACTATTATTTTAACTAAAAATTACCAAGTCACGGAAAATGTGTTATTTTTCCGTCATGTTGCACAATATGGACAAACTATTTACTCAACTAAAAATTACCAAGTCATCTATGAAAGGCAGAATGTTACTTTTTTCCAAAGTTACACACAAAATAAATAAGTATGATAGGTAGGTAAGGTCCGTTTCACCAGGGTTCTTACTTGACCTTGAAACTTGAAAAAAAAGGGTTGTCGTAGATTAATTCATATGACACATTCAATTTTTTGGACAAATTAAAATGATTTAAGAACCGACGAACGTTTTTGACGTCATTGATTTGTTTCAATTTTGATTTGTTAAACAAGGAAGGCAAATGCTGGTGGCAAGTACAAACCCTGGCGAAACAAACTTTTTTTTTTTACCTAATTATTCTTAATAAAAAAAAATACCTAATTTAAATGTGGAAATATAAATCCTATGAAAATGCATGCTCGTACATGACTTTTGAATCATTTTTACTTACGCATTCTTTCCATCTCCATACATAAAATTAATATCACCACCTCGGCCTCCGGGACCACCACCACCTCTACCTTCACCACGCATTATTTTGGAAGTAATGCTTTGCTCAAAAGATACTATTTTTGAATGAGAAGACACTTAAACAAAAACCAGTTCAATCTTGAAAATGCGTTTGTGAATGATAGCTCCAACACAATCCAAAGAAAGTTTTTCTCTAGAAATTAAATGTTGACACAAGATAAATACATCATTGTCTTTTCCTGTATTTGTATTAAGATATTATGAGCTTTCAGTAAATATGAATTCTGCTCGTAACGCTTGTAATTTTCAATAAAACCTTTTATGCAAAGCAAATGTTTGGATTTTAAATATATATTTTTTTAAAACAATTTGAGCAACATCTAATAAATTACAGACAATAAGTAATTTGAAAAAAAAAAGTTCTAAAATGAGGATTGTTAACACTATTCAATTTGAAGCCAACCAATTATTTTTTGAGAGAGAGTGTAAAAACTCTGTGCCAACAGAGTTGGCAGAACAATGAAAAGAGACAGATTATTTTTTTTCGTTGTACTATAATTAGGCTCATTCAATACCTCAATGAGGGAATTTGTTTTTATTTTCATTTATTTTGAATATCAGATTAAAAGAAGGATACTGGAAGAGATTCACAATATAGAGATGGAAAAAAATAAGTAAAGAAACTAGAGAAAGATGTTGATAATAATGAGACGAAATTAATTAGAAATGAAGACACATACACAGATCAATAAAATCAATGCAAAAGAGTGGCAAAAAAATAATGAGGATAGTGAACAGCCATTGATCAAGGAAAAAGAAAACAGTGACAGAACTTAACATCTAATATAATAGAAAATAATCTAAAACATATTAACAATAGGAGTGACTTTTTGGCCCTGGATTATTACAGACATGTAACAGATTTTAGGAAGGACAGAGAGTAGGAAATTCAGATAGATCTTCAAGGTGTGAAATCTTCGCATTTAGATCCTCCGTCATAATGAAAGGAAAGAAAAATATTAATTAATTACATCGTAATTGGCATTTTTAAAGTCATAGGAAAAATAAACTGTAAAATATCTACCAGGCGAGCATAATATGGGTTCTGCCAACAAACCATTGATCCAGATCTATGGAATTTTGGCTAGTCAAAATCTCTTGAAAGATACCTAGTTCAAAATAGATATCAACTCATGATAAGCTATTACTTAAAACTTCAAGTGGGTTCGAGATGTAAATACCTCAAAAATTTAAATTCTTAACTCTGATACTCATCAATACTTTTTTATTTATTTTGAAGGTCTTCTGACACTCATCAGTCATGATATCACCCAGAGGTTGGTTGAAGACCCTTGAAGCATCACTATTATTGACTCCCTTTCCCATTTACGTTTTCAGGGCAAAAGCTCTGGGAACTAAAGCTGTTCAAAGGCGGGAGTTGAACTTTGCATAAAAACGCACCCCCCTTCAAAGTTGATTATTTTTCTTAAATTTTCTCCAAATTTTCCGTTACTGAGACAATAATAATGGTGGTAAATTTTAAAATGGACACCTATTGGATGTCCTTCAGAAAATCATAATTTTCAAAAAAAATATAAGCGGAACAGCAGCTTTGGCAATGGTTTTGGAGTGGTTTTACGAATAATCTTTGGTCAAAGATCAACAAGTTATACATCAAGATATATGAAATTATATGCCTCTCAAACTAGTGAGAAGATACTCCTATTTCTTTTTTTTTTTTTTTTTCAAAAAATTAACATTATTTGATGGAATTGGAAAAAAAAACTAAGAAAAATTAACTCTCAGGGCAGCTTTAGCCTTTAGGGTAGTTTTCAAGTTTTCGCAGAGGATATACCTATGCATTTATTGGCCTTATCCTACATTTTAGTCTACAATGAAGCCTTTTTGAGCCATGGCCAAACTTTAACACAGACAGTAACTAGTAACTCGTTCTATACCTTCTATATGCATTTCTTCACAAATACATGAAGTACCTAACCAACTATAGTCAGTTATTACCAATCGAGAAAAACAGATGTAAGTAGTACCAACAATTTCCAACAGCCAATCCCCAGGACAAAAAGATAACCCCAAGTTAAACAGCAATTAGGTACCCAAGGAAAATACAAGATTAAATAACATAAGCAACTTAATTCAGGAGAGTGTTTTTTTATCTGTGGTATAGGTAATTTTAGTTTTAAATGACTCCACAGTACTATTAAAAAGATCCAACTCACCAATAGTAGGTATTATTGATTATACCATGGACAGGCTCTATATACATATAGGCGTATTTCTGGCAAGATTAGTATGACAGTTTTCCAAATAGAATTTATGGTGAGTTTAGGTGTTTACTGCAGGAACCAAAAAATTGAGGTAATTTAATATTTCAGTCGAATCAATAATTGTAGCATATTTTAAAAATAAACAGTTGTCTGACAAGAATTGTACTTTGCTTAAGTGATAAAAAGTTAAACTTTTCCAGTAATAGTTTGTGGTCATATCCTCATGGAGGATAGATACCATCCTACTTAAAGCTTAAGTGCTTGAGAAATCTACGCTGGACATATTCGAGCTTGTCAACATGAATATCATAATTGGGAAACCATATTGTAACTGCATATTGTAATTTTGATTTTATCAATGAGTTATACAAAGTGATCCAACTCTCCGTACTTTTGAAATCTTTTGTGGACCTAATAATAAAGCCAAGTGTTTTCAAAGATGCTTGAATGATTGACAATCTACACTAGAAAGATTGGTATTTTCAAGTCTATATTCAATCAAACTTCACTTCGTTATGAAGCTTGGAAATGGTCATTTATTGATATTTAGCGGAAGTTTATTTGTGATACACCAACAAGGATTAGAGGAGCTAGATTGCTTTCCTGAGGAGCGCCACTTGAAGCCCTGAAGTCAGCAGATCGGAAATCGTTGTACTCCACAAATTGCGTTCACCCACTCAAGTATGAGATGAATAGATTCACCAGGTTCCTATGAGACCCAATGTTGTACATTTTCTGGACACGAGATCATGATTTAACCTATCGAAGGCCTTCGAGAAATCAGTATCCTAGTAAAGTGAAATATGAAAACTAAAAAAAAAAGTTTCTATGAACATACTTATGCCCTAAAATATTTTTTCGTCTAGTGAGGAACTATCGATCCTCTAGCCTAAGGGAAACTACCCTTTCAGAACTGTTGCGGCTTTTTTCACTATCACCATTCGCTTTGGCATCGAAATGCGAAATGTATGTGAGAATACCAAATTTCAAGGAACTATTTTTGCCACTGTTTTCAAAAATAAATAAAATCCATTATTTTATTTTCATCTACCGTTTGCAGGTCTGTTACTTGTTCAGGAAGCATCTTAGGGCAATATGTTCATGGAAACTTTTTATTTTATTTCCATATGTAGTATCACCCCTCGAAGTCTGGTATACAATTTTTTTTAGACCCTGTATATGACGCCAAGTTGTTCCCTATTATTGATAGCAAGATAAGCTTTTTGTAGGAAACTTGTAAAATTTGTTAAGGTTGATCTCTTTGGAAAGAAGCCATGTTGAGTAAAAGATATTACATATTTAACTTGAAGGTTGTTGTGAATACAGATTTCAAATGCCTTCGAAAAGTTAGACAGCATGAAGATAGGTTGGTAGTCGGTAGTTAGTAATATTATTATTTTGAACTTCCTTAAAAACAGGCAAATTTTAGTTATTTTCCATTGTTCCCTGGAATATGTTATTTTTTAAGATTCTATTGAAGATGAGATGTAAAAGCACTGCTAGACACCCTGAGCAATCATGCAATATAAAAGAAGGTATTTTATCATGACCTGTAGTGTTTGTATCTTTTAATTTTTTGAGTGCACTGCACACTTCAAGCTGAGAAATATTGTTAATAGATATATTTTGAGAGTTGTAGGGCTCATCAAAGCTAATTAGGAAGGGATGTGATGATGCAACATAGGTATTCACTTTTAAAAAAAAATTGGCAGATCCATCCCGGATATACATATTTCCAAAAATTTGTAGGTTCCCTTTTTATTGATGATTCTGTATTTTTTATGTAAGATCTATATGCTTCATCAATTCTTCTTAATTTAGTTTTTTGTAATTATTGTTGTGTAGCCTTTGTTTTTGGTTTAAGAGACCAATTATTTCCTTAGCGCACCCGTATAGATATTAGATCATTTTTTGTGTTCACATGGAAAAGTGGGACTGACTGATCAAGAGTATTGTAATAGGTCTCGTAAAAGACATCAACTTTTGTTCATCAACCAAGAAGTTCCGTTCCAGTAAAGTTTCTGATAGTTACCTACTGATACATAAGTGGATAGTTATTTTCTCTTTGAAAATTAAGTTTTTATTTGTGTTGCCTAGGAAGTTTCTGGGTAATAAGCCCATTTGTGGATCAATTTCAATTGAGAGGGGAGGTGAACTAGATCTTTGGGAACTTAGGGGTATAGTTTTTCTGATGATTTCGCTTATGGTTTTGTACCTACACCAAGAAGTTAGGCCGGATATTTGGCTATTTGGCCTCGCAGCTCGCCAGTCATCTGGTACAGTGGCGGTTCGCCCATATGGGCAAGGTGGGCACCGCCACCCCGGAGAAAAAATGGAAAAATAAAAAATACTTTTGAAACAATATTTGGTAAGGCCGCAACCTTGAAAATCTAAAAAAAATCGCCCACGGCTGTTTTTTATTTTTGTTGCCAACCCTCACTTGGAGACCACGAGCCGCCACTGATCTGGTATCCTACCAAACAACTATCCGTTTCATCTCTAAATAAGTAAATATTATGTATGTAGGTGCTACTAAAAGTAAAAGTACATTAGGTACCCATATAAACTCCAACAAAGTTGGGTGTTGAATGCATGGACGAAAACGGCAACCGGAAATATCATTGAGAATAACAACTATTTATCAGGAGCTCTCATTTGTAAATAAAAAAACAATGAATAATCCTGTTCAAGATCTTCATTATGACTTGGTACTTGGTAGTTTAGTATATAGGTATAAAAGGTCAAAATAATTTAGTGTTTTCATTCCAGTTAGAACCTACCAAAAAAAATTGTCCACCGATAGGCATAAATTGAAAAGTAGTTAGTGGTTGAACCTCTATATTTATTTTTATTTAAACTAATGATG